AGGAGGGGTCACTATGAGTCAGATCCGACTCAAGGGCAGTGGGTTGCATTGCGTTGTGTTAGTGCTGCTCTGGTGACATAGTGCCTAAGGCATTTGACTGCTAACCCGAAGGCTGGCAGTTCACACCTACCAGTCACTCCTTAAAAGGAAGATTGGGCAATCTACTTCCATAGAGATACTGCCCCGGAAATCCACGTAGGGGTCGCTATGAGTCAAATTGACTCGAAAGCAGTGAGTGAGTGAGTGTTCTTCTGACAGGAATATACCACAGATGGGATGGCTTTAGCAAACAGGAAATTATTCTCTTACAGTTTGGAGGCTTTAAGTCTGAGTTCAAAGTACCAGGCTCTAGGGGCTGAGTTAAAGCCCCTCAAACTTGGCCTTCAGCTCTGCCTCCTTTTTCTGGCCCACTGAAGCTGGAGGCTTTTCTTCACTCAGCTGGCTGCTGAAGCTGACAAACCCAAAGTCAACAAATACAAAGGTACAGTCCCAATGTTACCAAACAACATGGCAGGCCACTAATTGAAGTCCAGAAGTCCCAAGATCGGCAGGGCATGGCAGGCTACTAAACAACAACTTGGCTACCTGCAGGGTTCAAACGTGCTAAAAAGCTGGAGACCTTCAAATTTGCTTCTTATGTACTGGAAGCAGCCCGTAGCACTAAAGCAGCTGCTCAGCTGGAGTTAATTACCAATCTCACCATGGAGACTAACTACATCCGGCTGTCAGCCACTCAACCAGGCCCAGCCAAGTTGTCAACAACCTTAACTACCACAAAGATCTACTTAATACTGGGTACTCTACTAGGCGGTGGTGGTGGTGGTGGTGGTAGGTGCTGTCAAGTCTTCTCCAACTCATAGTGACCCCTATGCACAGCAGAACTAAACACTGCCCGGTCCCGTGCCAGATTCACAATCCCTGCTATACTCTACTAGATACTATGCATAAATTGCCTCTAATTCTTATCCCAGGCTTCAGCAAAGTTTACCTGTAAAGCACCAGATGGCAAATACTTTAGGCTTTGTAGGCCATATGGTTGTAACACCTCAACTCTGCCATTATAGCCTGAAAGTAGTCATAGACGACATGAATGAGTATGGCTGTATACTGATAAAATTTATTTACAAAAACAGGTAGTGGGCCACATTTCGCCCACAGGCCATAGTTTGCAGAACTTTCCTAATCTTTACAACTCTGTTAGATAAATTTTTTATCTCCATTTTGGAAAGTTAAGAAAATTGCCTGAAATCACACACCCACAAAGTTGCAGGACTGAATCCTTACCCAGGTCTGACTCAAAATGCCCTATTTTTTTTTTTTTAATATAAAACTTAATGGAATTTTTTCCCCTGGGAATGATTATCTTTTAAAATGCTTATTAACTCTATCATTGGAAATAATTTTCTTGCTCTTCTGATAATATATGATGATTTTTTAAAAATTTTAAATAATATAGAGAAAAGTTCCTTTGTAAATGCTTATTTTCTAGAGGATAGCCACTTAAAAGTTAGAGATTTCCAGGTATAAATTTCCAAAATTTAATGCATTTCTTTTTTCTATAGATGGAAACATACATACTATTCTTTAAGTTACCTTTTTCACTTAATATGCTGCTATCAGCTTTCTGTGTTAATACATGAATACCTACCTTATTCTGTGATCTCTTCTCCACTGATGGACATTTAGGTCTCTAGTCTTTCATTATTGGAGTCATTGCTTATGCTCGTGTATGTACGTGTGTGTATACATATACACATGTGTGTTTATACATGCATTTTTTTTATCTATATACATCTATAAAATCTTTACACTTTTCTAACCATTTCATTATGATTTTCTTTGAAAGGAAATTGCTGGATCAAAGGATAGGAACATGTTTACTTTTGAAAGAGGTATCAAATTGCCATCTGGAAGGATGGTCCCAGTTTATTCTCCCAACAACAGTACAAATAAAGTGCCCATTTCCCTAATCTTTGCAAGCTTTGAATATTAGCACATTTTTAATCTTTGCCACTATGATGGGGAAAAAATGCTATTTTTATATTATTTTATTTTTATTACTAGAAACTGAGTACCTCTTTATATTGAAATATTTATATATCTAAATGTATAACTATGTATTTAAATATATGATAAATATTTAAATATATTTAAATCCCACTAGTTCCACCACTTCACACTGCTTATACAAATCAGATTGCATAGCGTTTCTGAAAGTAAGTTTCAGGATGTTCCTGTCTACAATTACTATTTTCAGGTTAATGTATTTTTTTTTTCTATTTCCAAAGTGTGTTCATTCTTTTATTAATATATTTCAAAATCAATACAGAAGATCAGAAACAAAAAAGCATTTGCTTAGCAAGTTTTTTTCTAATATGATGAAAATTTGGGATGTAATGCCTGAAACATCATGTTCTCATATTCTTATTTCTGTGTATTTATGAAAAATTTTTAATTAAATGTTTTTCCTAATGTAAGTTAACCTTTTCCAGTTAACACTACCCAGTCCTATGTTTGAGGCCATCATTGCACCCGCTGTGTCAGTCCATCTCATTAACAGTCTTCCCCTTCTTTGCTGACCCTCTACTTTACCAAGTCTGGTATCCTTCTCCAGGGACTGATCCCTTCTGACAACCTAACCAAAGTAGATGAAACAAAATCAGGCCATTCTCACTTCCAAGGAGCATTCTGGCTCTACTCCAGAACAGATTTATTTGTTCTTTGGGCAGTCCATAGTGTTTTCAGTATTAGAATTCAAAGGCATCAACTCTTCTTCAGTCTTCTTTATTCATCGTCCAACTTCACATGCATATGAGGCGATTGAAAATACCATGGCTTGGGTCAGGCACACACGTTACTCTTCAAAGTGACATCTTTGCTTCTTAACACTTTCAAGAGTTCTTTTGCAGCAGGTTTGCCAAGTGTAATACATCGCCTGATTTCCTGACTGCTGCTTCCGTGGTATTGACTGTGGATCCAAGTAAAATGAAATCTCTGACAATTGCAGTGTTTTCTCCATTTATCATCATGTTGCTATTGGTCCAGTTGTGAAGATTTTTGTTTTATGTTGAGGTGTAATCCATACCATAGTCTTTAATCATCAGTAAGTCTTTTGATCATGAGCAAGTGCTTCTTCACTTATAGCAAGCAAGGTAGTATCATCTGCATATTACATGTTGTTAATGAGTCTTCCTCCAATCCTGATGCTGCGTTCTTCTTCACATAGTCCAATTTCTCAGATTATTTGCTCAGCAAAGAGATTGAATAAGTATGGTGAATGATACAACCCTGAAACACATTTTTCCTCATTTCAAACCATGTAGTATCCCCTTGTTCTGTTCAAACGACTGCCTCTTGGTCTATGTGTAGGTTCTTCATGAGCACAATGAAATGTTTTGGAATTCCTATTCTTCACAGTGTTATCCATAATATGTTATGATCCACACAATCGAATGCCTTCACAAAGTCAGTAAAACACAGGTAACATGTTCCTGGTATTCTTTGCTTTCAGCCAAGTTCCATCTGACATCAGCATTGATATCCCTTGTTCTACATTTTCTTCTGAATCTGGCTTGAATTTCTGGAAGTTCCCTTTCAATATACTTCTGCAACTGTTTTTGAATTATCTTCAGCAAAATTTTACTTGCATGAGTTGGGTCTAACTCAATGGCACATAACATCAATAACAACAACAACATTATATTAATGAACCAAAAGAAAAAAACCAAACTCACTGCTATCGGTCAGATCCGACTCATAGCAACCCCTCCTTGGGTTTCCAAGGCAGTATCACTATAGAAGTACATTGCCCAGCCTTCCTTCCAAGGAGTGGCTGGTGGGTTTGAACTGCCAGCCTTCTGATTAGCAGTCAAGTGCCTCAGGTACTGTTGTTGTGTGCCTTCAAGTTGGACCTGACTCATAGTGACCCCTCCTTGCGTTTTTGAGGCAGTATCACTACGGAAGGAGATTGCTCAACCTTCCTTCTGAGGAGTGGCTGGTGGGTTTGAACTGCCAGCCTTCTGGTTTGCAGTCAAGTGCCTTAGGCACTATGCTACCAGAGCTCCTGCCTTAAGTACTACTGTTTGATAATTTCCACATTCTATAGGCATATGGATATTATCCTATCACTGACAGCGTTGTACTTCAGGGTAGATTTTGAAACATCCTTTGTGATGATGAATGCCACTCCATTCCTCTTCGATTTGTCATTCCCAGCATAGTAAACCATATGATAGTCTGATTCAAAATGTCCAATACCAGTCCATTTCAGCTCACTAATGCCTAGGATATTGATCTTTCTGCATTCTGTTTCATTTTTGACAACTTACCATTTTCCTAGATTTGTAAACCGTATGTTCCATGTTCCGATTATTAATGAATATGTTCAACTGTTTTTTTTTTTTTCCCATTTTGACTTGGGCCCCACCAGCAAATGAAGGTTCCAAAAGCTTTACTCCATCCACATCATTAAGGTCAACTCTACTTTGAGGAGGTAGCTCTTCCCCAGTTCTGTTTCGAGTGCCTTCCAACTTGAAGGGTTCATCTTCCAGCATTGTATCAGACATTGTTTCACTGCTATTCATAAGGTTTTCATTGGCCAGTTTTTTCAAGTAGATGGCCCTGTCTTTCTCCCTAGTTTATCTGAGTCTGGAAGCTCCCCTAAAACCTGTCCCCATGGGTGACTCTACTAGTACTCAAAATATTGTTGGTATAGCTTCTAGCCTCACAGCAACACAGAGGCAACCACAGTACGACAAACTGACAGACTAGTGGTGATGTGGTATATAATAAGCACTAAATAAATGAGTCAGGGCCGACTCGATGGCACATAACAACAACAACAAATAAATGAGAATAATTATTATTTAAGAGTAAGCAGCTACCATTTATTGGGCACATATGATAGACTACATGCTATAGTTCTGTAATATATATTTAACATCAAACTAAGGATGAAGCCTCTGAAATGTTTCATTTCTGAAAACTGCCTCTGATTTCAGGTTGGGACCTACTCTAGAACCTGAGGAAGTGGTAAACAAGCTGATGAATGGTATCCTGACTGAGCAGAAAATAATTTATGTTCCACTCTCTATATGCTTTTTAGTAATAATGGAAAGGTAAGTAACAATAGTGAAAGTAAGTTAATATTAGAAAATTAAGAATTATCTAGAACATATTTTTATTCAGATTTAAAACATAGAATATAGTTGATAAAGTACTGTTGATTAAATGGAATTAACAAAGTAGTAGGCTTAAAGAATCCATACTTTTTTATACTACATATGCTAATTATTGCTGCAAGATTGGTATAGCTTTTAGGTTAAATTAATTGAATTATTTCCACAAGTTTTTTTTTTTAAAAAAGTATTATTATTATTTCATTGTGGTGAAATATATACACACCAGAACATTTGAAAACAGGACAAAGTCCACATTCACAATTCATTTCCACAAATTTAAATGTGTATTTTAAAAAGAAAGAAATTTGTGTATTTCTGGAAGTCTTTGGATCATAATGGATGAATATAAAGAATGATATTGTTAAGCATTTTTATATAATGGAATCACAGGACAGTGACCTTGGAAGGAACCACAGTTAAGTTTTCATTTAAATATACGACAGATAATCCCTGAACTTTTATTTTATGCAAAATCATGCTGAAGCATAGGAATTTCTGAATAACCTTTTATCCATTTAGTGATCTTTGAGCCTCGCTACTTAAAGTGCGATCCACAGACCAGCAGCATCAGTAGCACCTGGGACCTTATTTACAAATACAGAAGCGTGGGCCCCCTCCATATCTGCTAAACTACGATCTGCGTTTTCATAAAATCCCCAGATGATTTGTATGCATATTTAAAGTCTGAGAAACACTTTTTCAGAGCTACAGCTCTAAACTTTGGTGCATGTTAGGATTTACCTGAGAGATTTGAGATATGCTGATCCCTGAGACCTAGTCCCCAAGATTCTGATTTAATTGGGCTAGAGTGCAGCCTGGACGTTGTGAGATAAACATTTCTTCAGGTGATTCTAATGCACAGTCAAGATTGGAAACCACCAGTTTAAAGAGTAGCTTTTCATAGTCCAAGGAGCCCTGGCAGCATAGTGGTTAAACTGCTTGGCTGCTAAAGGAAAGGTCGAGATTTGAATCCACCCAGAGATACTTCAGAAGAGAGGGCTGGCAATCTATTTTAAAAAGGTCACAACCATTAAACCCAATGGTAGTTCTGCTCTGCAACACATGGATTCATCATAAGCTGGCAACTGTTTCATTATTGTGATTGCTACCATTATTATACAGCCTTGGAAACCCTATGGGGCAGTTCTACTCTGTCCTACAGGGTCACTGAGTCAGAATCAACTTGACGGCAGTGGGTTTAGGCAGTTTTCTTTATATAGTTACACTGACTTATGTCTCAGACTCATTGGACTGTAACAAGTTGGTAAATATTTTTAAGCATAAAGACAGGAGAGAAAAAGATTAAGACATCATGTTATGTATTAAAATGTGTCCCCCCCAAAATACGTGTTGAAATCCTAACCTCTATGCCTGTGGTTGTTATCCCATCTGGGAATGGGATGTCTTTGCAATGTGCCGTTTAAGGCATTTTATTTCTATTTATTTGAGGGATTTCGTCAAAGGTTAAATAAGTTGTCAGCATTATGTTCAAAACCAGATGTGAGTCTGCATTTTCATTGAGTAATTCTACCTCCTCTGTCTCTTTCAGGAACATGTTAATAATATTCTTGATTCCAAAAAAACCAAACCAAACCCAGTGATTGTTGTTGTTGTTGTTATGTGCCATTGAGTTGGACTCGACTCATAGCGACCCCTCCTTGGGTTTCTGAAGCAGTATCACTACAGAAGTAGATTGCCCCATTTTCCTTCTGAGGAGTGGCTGGTAGATTTGAACCACCAGCCTTCTGGTTAGCAGTCAAGTGCCTTAGGCACTATGCTACAAGAGCTCCCAACCCAGTGATTACTAAGTGTAAAATTAGCTCTTATTCTTACTTCATTTTCAAAGTCATGTTTTTTTAAAAAAAAAAAACCTTCAGCAAGTCCACTATTCATTTCTATATACTTTTTAGATCATTTAGAAATAAAGGAGTCTATTTACTTCTTCTTTTATTGTTCTAAGGAGTGTATTTATTTTAAAATTAAATATTTCGGGTCACTCCTACTCAAAAGAAGGGGTAACTCTTGCTTGTTAAAGGAAATAGAATTGATGGGAAAGAGGATTTTAGTGACTCAGAGTTAAAGTTCTTGAATTTGTTTAAGATGAACATGAACATGATACATGATAAATTAAGCATAAGTATTTCAAAAGAAAATATTTTACAAATCACTTACTATTGCTTTCCTATTTTCTCTCTTTTCTTTTTAGAATCTTTCCTGAGCGTTTCCTGAACATTTTAAGACGAAAGCTCGATATTAAGTTTGATGCAGTTATTGGATATAAAGTTAAAGGACAATAAGACCTGATTTTCTTGAAAACTGACTGGTAGCAGGTCTTTAAGTTCATTTCATCTAATGTTAATCAGAATCTTAATACGTATTTTGACTTTTGCTTTTCTTAACTATCCTTTTTTCTTCAGTGTCATCTCTTGAGGCTCTGGCAGTTGTCATTGACTCCTGCTTGATCTTTAGCTGAAAGTTGATTTCACGTGACCCAAGAGAGAAACACCTTAGGAGTTGACTTTGTGGAAAATGGAAAACACTTTTTTGGTTTTTTGCAATCATTCCCAAGATTTTGTGGCTTATCTGAAAGCTTTGCATAATTTGCACTATAATTGTATAAGATACATTTTACAGATCTAATTACACTTAAATGTACGTTTATGTGATCACATTTCCTTTTCCATTCTACATACATATTGTTTTTTCTGCAAATAACATACATACAATGGGCAGAAATGATGAAATCATGTTAAAAAATTATGGCATAGCACACCCATGTATACACCACACAGTCCTAGGACATTTCCAGAAGTGAATTTCAGCCTCATGTTACATTTAATCATATTTGTATGATAAAGACATAGCCATGGTCAAGAAGTCATGGATCGAGTTTAGTACAGTTGAAACTGTTCATTTGCTCTGGGGCAGTTTGCACCCAGGCCTGAGAGCTATGGAGTTCCTAATAGCTGATCTGTGCCCAGGAAGAGCATGCCAAAGAGGGGCTGGATGGTCAGGCAGAGTGCTGCATGTGGGGCAGGGCCATTTGTTCACAAGCACTCAGGTCCCTGTGCCATGTGAAGTCCGGCAGCAGGAGAGTACGGTGTGGGCTTGCACTGCCCTAGTAGCCAATTGGACTCATCTCATCCAAGCAAGGGATGCGTGACCCCTCTGCACCCATGGCTGTCATGCCTGCCCCACATCATCCACCAGAGCCAGAGATTTGAATGGCCTGAACACGACAGCTGGACAGTGGAGCTGAATGTGTGTGACTGGCATACCTGAGTGGCCTCTCCGGGCTAGGGTGTGCAGATTCCTGTACCTCCTGGACTGGGACTGGCCACCCTGGTGATGTTTGTTTCCAGGGCAGAAAAAGTGATACCAAACTGCCTTAGAGAAATAAGTTTGCAGAGGAGGAAAGGAATTGTGCTGGGAGAGGGGCTGCTTTTAGAACTCAAGGGTGGGATGGTGAGGATCTGCTGCTGGGAACCAAACTTCTGCATCAACAGGCAAGATGAAGACTTAACATTAAATCCATTGGACAGATTGAAATCGAAGTTATCAACATGTAAAAATGTTTGTATAGCATGCTTATGAAAATGAGCAGGGCATTGCCTGATATACGAAAATGTATAATGTGCTCGTTATTTGCATAAAAATACGGTAATTAGAAGTTTCAGCTCTTTAAACATAATGAAGGACTGTATCGAGACATTTCACAATGAATTTCACGTAATGTGAGAAAGAGCTCTTGAACATTTTAACTTACACATTACAACTCTGTTTCCTGAGAGATACCTCACATTTTAATACTAAGCATTTCAGCACAAGGAAATTAGAGATAAACACTAGAAACATCATTGGAATTTGAGGCAGAGAACCATGCAGATTTACAAATAAATGGTAACAATAATAAATGAATCAGACTTCAAACTTTTGGTTTTTATGCTAAACAATTTATTAACCTTATAATTAAAGGAAAATGGATGATGCAATCAATGGCCTTTTTAGTGTCTGGCAGTTTCTTCATTAAGGTAACTCAGACCTGAAATGTACTAATAACTTTCCCCTTTTCATAATGATCATATTATGACTCCTAACATGCTTGTCAAAAATTAACATTTGGATAAACTTTGACATTAACTGTTATGATAAATAAGCATTTTTGGATATTATGCTTACAGAATGGTGATTGGTTTCATTTTGTTAGCCATGTGCCAGGCACAATTTGCCATCTAATTCCTTAGTGATCCTGTGGGTAAAAATTGTCAGAAGGACTTTAAATAGCTGTGAATTTGGCAGTAGTAAGGAGCTCTGATGGTGTAGTGCTTAAGGCACTTGATTGCTAACCAGAAGGTTGGTGGTTCAAATCCACCAGCCAATCCACAGAACAAAGACTGGGCAATCGACTTCTGTAAGACTTATCACCTTGGAAACCCAAAAGGGGTCACTATGAGTTGGAATCAACTCAATGGCAGTGAGTTTGGTTTGGTTTTTGGTTAGCTGGAACCCAGAAAAAAAAGAACCTTAAAGTCTACAGTCCTACTGTGCTGGGAGGGTGAATGACTACGGTAGAGGATCTGAATTTTGTTCTTTGCATTTTTGAAAAACCTTGCTCAAATTCACCAACTTTAGGCAATTATTTTTTATTATAGTTGCTATGACTTCATGTCTGAAAACTTTTAAATGTTCTTTGAATAAAGTTTAATCCTAACTCTGAGTCCACTTAAGAACAGTTTATGGGAAAGTCAGTCTTGGCCATTTTGAGGGCTGCTTCTGAAGGTCAGACCATAATCAAAAGCAGCTTATGTTATCTTGGGGTATGTGGGAAAAGACTCTTAATTGCCAACTATCATTGTACTCCGTGGTCCTAAACTAGGGGATCCTTTGATGACATACAGCTCTTCTTGTGGGGTTCAGAAACCTTAACCACTGAAGGGAACTCAACCTTCCTGGACACACCACAAAGCCTTCCTCTGGAACACTGTCATCAAGCTGGGTCCCTGCCATAGTACTACTAGGCTGTACTGGCCTCTCCCCTATTTCCCTGAGAATCTCCCCATCTTGTCTTCAGAAACATTCTTTCCCAACTCTACCTCTTTGTGGCCATCCCCACTTGTGAGAAATCTATCCATTTTAATTGGAAATGAGGATTAGAAAGAATGAGGAAATCAGTTTAAGGAAACGGGTTAAAATTGACCCTCAGTATATCGCTAACACTGGGCTAACGAGTAATGTCTAAAAGGTAAAAAGGTCTTGACCAATGTCTAAAAGGAAAAGAGGAAAAATTATCACCCAGACTGAGTGATAGATTTACTCTGTTGGACAATTCTGTGTGGTAGACATAATTATCCCTGTTTTATAGCTGAGATAACTGCAGCTCAGAGAAGTTAAACAAAGTTACCCAAAATCACCCAGCTAAGACAATGTGGAGCTGAGGATTTGGATTCAGGTACATCTAACTTCACCATCATACAGGCTTAGTGGAATTCTCAGTTGAATCATTGCCCTAAGAACCCTCTACTTCCCCACACTTTCCATAATATTCAATCAATATTCCAAAACCCAATATTCTAAAATTCATCAGGAATTTTAATAGTAATTGAAGCTATTCAACCTATGGACTATTTTAAGGAATAAAATGCTACGATTAAAAAAAAAAAAAAAAAAAACACCTCACTGCCATTGAGTCGATTTCTACTTATAGCGACCCCTCCCTGGGTTTCCAAGGTGATTTATCTATGGAGTAGATTGCCCAATCTTCCTTCCGAGGAGTAGCTGTTGGGTTGCAGATGCCTAATTATTCCACATAGGAAAAGATTCAGTTTTGGCCTGACTTAACTATCATTAAAATCTTAAGTTTTCTAAAATTAATATGGTGAATCCTAAAAATGTAAGTCGACATTGGGATGGTCTTAATGCACACTGGACACCAAAACGGTCCCTGAAGTAAACAAAAACTCCCCTTTGATGGTAGAGACAATCTGCCCACTGCAAGTTTCCTTGTCTATCTACACTCAGAACAAAGGAGATGTGCCTTTTACTTACATTTTTGTTAACTGCTGTCAAGTTGGCTCTGAGTCATAGCAACCTTACATACAACAGAACAGAAAAACTGCCCAGTTGTGCACCATCTTCCCAATCCTTCCTTTGTTTGAACCCATCACTGTGGTCACTGTGTCAGTCGATTTTGTTGAGGGTCCAAGCATGATACCCTTCTCCAGGGACTGGTTTTTCTGACAACATGACCAAAGTAAGTGAGATGAAGTATGGCCATTCTCACTTCTAAACAGCATTCAGGTTGGACTTCTTCCAAGACAGATTTATTTGTTCATTCTTCTGGTCCATGGTATTTTCAGTATTTTTCACCAACACCACAATTCAAATGCATCAACTCTTCTGAGGTCTTCTTTATTCATTGTCCAGCTTTCACATGCATATAAGAGTATTAAAAATACTATGGCTTGGGTTAGTTGCACATTAGTCTTCAAAGAGACAACTTTACTCTCCAACATTTTAAAGAGGTCTTTTGCAGCAGATTTGCCCAGTGCAATACATCATCTGATTTCTTGACTGCTGCTTCCATGGGTGTTGATTGTGGATCCAAGTAAAATGAAATCTGTGACAATTTCAATCTTTTCTCCATTTGTTGTGATGCTACTCATTGGTCCAATTGTGAAGATTTTCGTATTCTTTATGTTGAGGTGTAATCCATACTGCAGACTTCATCAGTAAGCATACTTCATCAATAAGTGCTTCAAGTCATCTTCACTTAGCAAGCAAGGTTGTGCCATCTGCATATTGTGTGTTGTTAATGAGTCCTCCTCCAATCCTGATGCCATGTTCTTCATATGGTCCAGCTTCTTGGATTATTTGCTCACCATACAGATAGAATAAGTATAGTGAAAGGGGTGAAAAGATACAATTCTGACACACACCCTTCCTGATTTGAAACCATGCAGTGTACCCTTGTTCTGTCCGAATGACAGCCTCCTGATCTATGTACATGGTCCTTATGAGAACAATTAAGTGTTCTGGAATTCCCATTTTTCACAATGTTATGCATAATTTGTTATGATCCAACAGTCTAATACTTCTGCTTCATCAATAAAAAAAAAAAAAAAGATCTTTCTAGTATTCTTTGCTTTCAGCGATGATCCATTGATATCAGCAATGATATCCTTCACTCCACATCCTCTTCTGAATCTAGCTTGCATTTCTGGAATTTCCCTGTCAGTATACTGCCACAACTGTTTTTGAATTATCTTCAGCAAAATTTTATTTGCATGTGATACTAATG